GTAGAGGTGGGCGCGCACTTGGACTGAGTGAGCGAGGGGTTAGGCATGGCGGGTGAGCTGGATGTGCTGGGTATGACGGTACTGCGGTCAATTCAGCTCTCATGGATACACATGTGGCCGAATAGGCCAATGGGATGCATGAGTGTGCGAGGACAGTGTGGACAGTGTAGGAGGGTGCGGCGGGTGTATGTTGGTGATCCAGGTATTGGCTCGCCGCACTCTGTGTAAGTGACCGAACAGGCCGATGTGTGAGGTGAAGGTTCAGGCCCAATGAGGACAGGTATAATACAGATCATCATCACTGGTGTCGTCGATGTTGTATTGGCGTTTGTTGCTGCGTCAGGATTGTGAGTAGCATTGATGTGAATGGTGGAAATGGTGGAAGGAAAGGAGAAGGAGGAGGATGGAAGTGTCAAAATTAGTTGACTGCAGAGAAGACAAGGAAGAGGTGGACGAAGGGACGACGGTTGGTGCGGTTCGAAAGTTGCAATTGATCCGAAGATGTCCAACAAGTCCAATTCGTGCCCGAAATGTCCGATGACATCAAGGACACGTTGGAAGCGGTTGTGCGTTCGAATTGAGGGATGGGCGCAGCAGGGACTTGCGTGCTTCACGTCGGCTTTCACGGCTGAAATGGGGTTCGCGTCGTAGATCGTAGCAGCAGTCTTCACTGTTCTCCTCCAGGTCGGTCGATCGTGTGCGAGCTCTTCCCAGTTGGTCGGGTTAGTTCGCAGATACTTCAGGGAGGACTTCAGAGTACCCTTGTATTGACGAATTTGGCCTCCTTGGCGGCAAGAGCCCGTCGCGACGTCTCCGTAGAAGAGTCCTTTGCTTAGTCGCTCGTCGTCCATGCGCACCAGATGGCCGCTCCAGCGCAGCTGCATTTTTTTCAGCATGGTGTAGGTGCTGAGCATTCCCGTCCGTTCCAGCACATCAGTGTCGGGGATTCGATCCAGCCAGTTCAGTCTCCAGATGCGACGAAGACAACTGAGGTGGAAGTGGTTTAGTCGACGTGCCTGCTTTGCGTACACCGTCCAAGTCTCCGCTCCGTACAGCAGCGTCGGCAGGATGACGGCCTTATACATCTTCAACTTCGGGCTTAGTTGGAGACCGTGACGATTCCAAACTGTGCTTTGGAGGCGGCCGAAGGCTTGATTGGCTTTCGAAATCCTGTGGGCGGCATCGTCATCGGTCTTGGTGTTATGGCAGAGGGTGCTGCCCAGGTACGGGAAGTTCTCCACCACTCGCAGTTGGGTTCCGTTCACGCTGATTTGCGGCGCGTTGGGGGGAGTGGAGGTGTCATGTGGCGGTTGGCGCATCGCCACCGTCTTCTGCATGTTGATGACCAGCCCAAAGTTCTCGCAGGCGGCGGAGAACAGGTCCATGCTCCGTTGCATCTCCTCTTCCGAGGTGGTGTTATGGGCGCAGTCGTCGACGAAGAGGAGTTAGTGAGCGGTGGTTCTGGATACACGTGACTGGAAGTGCATCCGTCGTTGATTCAGAAGGTGATCATCCATCCTGTAGGCGATGCGGATCCTCGGCAGTTCATCACGGTAGACGTCCAACAGCATGGCAGAGAACATAGGACTGAAGAGGGTGGGCGCCAGTACGCATCCCCGCTTTACTCCGTCGGTCACTGCGAATGCCTCAGAGACAGCTCCGTTGTCCGTGACTCGCGCCATCATACCGTCGTGCAGCTGACGCACCATCTTAGTGAATCGCACCGGAAAGCCGAATTTCTGCATGATCTGCCGCAGTCCTTCACGATTCACCGTGTCGAAGGCTTTCGTCAGGTCCACGAAGGTAGAGTACAGGTGGGTCCACATCTCCTGGCCCTTCTCCTGAAGTTTAGTCGACACTATCCTTCAACGACATTTCAATACGGTCAAGCAATTTGCTGGTCGGATTATAGATGACGTTACCCATCCCTTGCATTTTGATCTTATTTCTGCGAAGTCTTCCCGCCCGATGTGCCGCAGCCTCCGACTTATACCCTGTCGCACATCGGCTTATCGAGCTTCTGTTTTGCCATTCCTAGAGCGATATCTTACGTGCGAAGAGACAGAAATGCAGAAGCTAAGACTTGAGTTATCCCCATAATAATCGTTTCTTTGACTCTTGAATAATCTCTTACTTATTTACTGCCCACAGTGAATGGAGCCAATTTTTTTGCTGAAAATTTTGAACTTACGATTTCAAAATAAAGCGAATTCCTCTTTCTCTCTCTCAAGTTGACAGGCGGCGAAGATTATGTCCTTGGTCCCACGATGACGGCGGAAGCCGCATTGGCTTTCCGGTAGATGGTTATTTAGACGATTGGGGAGGATGCGAGCGAAGATCGTCCCGGCGATGTTCAGCAGGAAGATGCGACGGTGGTTGTCGCAGACTTGGCGGTTCCCTTTTCGCTTGTATAGATGCACGATGGTTGCGTCTTTGAAACATTGTAGGAATTCACTCTGATGCCACATCTCCTGGAAGAGCACAGTCAGGTGATCCATGAGTTGGGGACCTCCGTGCTTGTAGACCTCAGCAGGGACTGCGTCCGATCCGGGTGCTTTCCCGCAGGACAGCTTCTGCACGGCCCTGATGGTTTCCTGGAGAGATGGCGGGAGGTCGAGGTCCACGTTTGTCTCCACATGCGGCGTCGGAGATTATGGACGGACGGTTGAGGACGCCTCGGAAATGCTCGGCCCATCGCTGAAGAATTTGCGTCTTCTTAGTCAGGTGAGTGCTAACGTCGGCGCTGAGGAGAGGAGCAGTGCCCTTCGTCGGCAGGCAGTAGACAGCGTTGATCGCAGAAAAGAAGTTCTTCCATTCGTTGCGGTCAGCGTACCCTTGGATCTCCTCAGCTTTGCGAGCAGTCCAGGCGTCCTGCATCTCGCGCAGTCGTTGCTGAACCTGGCGGCGACTGCGGTAGAAAGCAGCTTTGTTGTCTTCGGTGAGGTGATCTACGTAGGCTTTGTGTAGGCAGTTCTTCTCATCAAGCAGATTTCTGATGGCGGCGTCGTTGTCGTCGAACCAGTCCTGGTGTTGGCAGCGTGCGCGACCGACCGATGACGACGGAAGTCGCATTGACTTTCCAGCAGAAGGCCCTGTTCGAGATGGTTATTGAGGCGGTTGAGAAGGATTCGAGCGAAGATCGTCCCGGCGATGAGCAGAGCCCAGCTACGTGGAGCCACATGTGAGAGTTGGGTGCCAGCAAATGGACGCTAGGCGTATTCTCACCTGCAAGCAAGTGAGCAACCACTACGACCATCACGTGAACCCACCGCTGACACCCCTACACTTCGGCACAACACACACACACACACACACACACACACACGACAGTTCGACCATCGATTTCGATGATGTCCACCGTGTGCCCCACACCTGCAGCAGCAGCGGTGGGAGCAGGGACGGTGACTTGCGCTGCATCTGCCTACACTCTCTCCTCCTCCCCCGTCTGAGCCCCGTATCAAGACCAAGTCAAGAAGACAGGAGACGGGGGAGGCCGCAGGTGGATGGCTCGGACGGATCCTCACCTTGGCGTTCCACCACACCGTCTTTTCCACACTACCATGACCAGTATTTTGACCACAAAACAATGGGGTGATGGCAGTAGTCCAGTTGTGCGACAGCTGCCGACAACAGGGTCTGCCAGCGCACCCCTTGACTGTTGGCATTTGTTATTGCACACAGATAACGCCTGCCAGGGTCCGATTCGGCCCCCGTGTTTGTCCAGCGTATCTAACACTTGGCCCGTTTCGAGGGCCGACACACACACGCATTCAGTGGGATCCGAGTCGTCCCGCATTTTTTCGTGTTTAGAATCTAAATAGGCGTGTATTTTGGACAGGGAGTATGCTGGTACGCCTAGGTTCGGGTCCGCTGTGTCAGCCACCTGTACCCCCTTCAACCGCCGGTCTCCCTGACTCTGTCTTGACACCGGGTCTAGGTTGGGGTGGGAGTGGTGTGGGGGGTGGGGGTGGTGAAGAGAGATTGTGGTAGATGCAGCACCATTTCTCTCACACTTCACACGTGATCACGCGCATGCCACCGTCCCTGCACTTCCCATGCTGTCGACCGCATTGTGGACACCATCAGCGATGCCTTCTACTTCTTATCAACTAATCCCTAGAACTCGCGTCTTCGCTTGTATCCGCAACGGTCAAAATATCATATGTGTGTGGGGGGTGGAAGGATGTACAGGTAGGACGCATAATGTGAATTCTTGATTATTCGGATATTTCCTAACAAAAGCACTTATCGTTATAAAACGCAGAATTGGATCATCGGGTGGGCAATCATCCCAACACAAATTCCTGCCTTCCAAAGCCATTAATTGAGAGAGGTTTTCCCGAGACCAGCTACCACCAGGATAATAACCGCTGACGGCCAGTTTGCGGCACCCAGAAGCGATCTCATTCTAATAAGACGGCTAGCTAACTGAATATGACAACGGAACCATCGACCAGGTCCAAAATTTAAATGTGTTATTGATTTTTCGTGATGTGGGGATAGCAAAGCATGTGGCTGCGTATGTGGAAATGAAGACTGCTGGTGGGAATTTTGAAGATAGTTGAGGAAATACGTCGCTGGATAGCATGATAAAGGAACGGCAGACCTCTTGATCAAGCTATGGACATTTACGTAAATGTACCTGACTACCATGCAGGTTGCATGCATGCAGATGTTAGTAATCTCCATCTGTGATTATCTGTCGACTGGTAATTAAAACAGGAGTCGCATTCCATGTGATCGTGGTGTAAGTGTCGGTGTATAGAAGGAAATTGTTGTTACGTTAGGTTAAGAGGCTAATCTCGCACTATTTGATGAAACCAGTATGTGCTTTTGGTATTTACTTTAGCGGATTCGGAATCCCTAAATAAGCACAACCGTTCCGAAAGTCTACGATATGCCCACAGTAATTTTCAGGATGTAGCCAAAACGATTACTTGTCAGTCGATTTGTTGGATTGACCGACGTCATAATACAATCAGTTGTGTCAAGTGCCTGGGATGGGCGGATGCAGTTATTCTCTCAAGATCCATTTAGAAGGGAATGCATAAATGCTAGATGCATTAAAGTCTTAGCCCGCTCATTACCATCATAATGGTACTTACAGAAATTCTCCTTAGTGATTTTGGAGAAACGACTATCGTTGTCTTAGCAGGAGTTACGTTAACAATTAGATAGACAGGGGGACAAAACCGGAAAAGTGAACACTTCCTTGTCGACTTTTTCGTTTTCGCAAGACCGTCACTCACCAGCCGCGGTCGTGTGCATAGCGTAATCACCAATCGGCTACACTGTCCGCGGTTGATTTCTCAGAATCAAATTGGGAGTGCTTCGTCCGCAAACGCATATATGTGGGATATCCGCCAGACCACTACCTAACCAACCTAGTTTTCAGACTCCCTTTAACCGTTGCAACTTAATCTTGTCAGAATCATGGATGATACTGACACAGTAAGAGAGAGAAGAACGTTCGTTTCCCGTCTGAAAGCCATTGGCTGCCAGGCACGGTCGACACCCAGCTCGGAGGGATCCCAGGTCCAAAACCGAGGGGAAGGAAATTTACGATGCTCAATTCGTTATGCTATGTAAGGAACAAATTCGGTTATCCCTAAGTATGCAAATCTCACAAACTGCAGCCGGTAAGATATCTGAGTTCGGCATCAAATTTAGCAAATTCTGAGGATCGCGATAGGCTGAAGAGTTTGGTAATACTGCGAGATACTTGCAGCAACTTTTGAAATATATAAAAGAACTAAATCAGGCTTGCATAACGCGTGGATTGACAAAAGTCCTCCAGAGTTCAGCAAAGTCGATGTGATAATTGCCGATGGACATTTTGCGGCACCCAGAAGCAAATTCATTCTGACCAGACGGTTGGGTTGCTAAATGCGAAACCGGAACCATAGAGCGAAAGTTGACTCTCAAGTTTCCACTTCTTTTGTTATCCAAACACGTGATGAATTATGAGGAAGCTAATACTGTAACTGACAGTCATTATCACGAAGCCCGACGTCTTTGTTAAATTCCACATTGCGCCAACCTTATCCACATCCCAGGCGAGCGGTTCCGGACGTTTTGACCGGACAGTCTGGCCGGCTGTAACATGCGCAGACCCGCTCATTTTAGAATCAACCGCCTGCTACACTGCGCCAAGTGAATTTCTCGAAATCGGATTGGAGGTTATTCGTCGGCCGTCAGCCACTGGCAGCACCACATCCGGGGTGAATAAAATTTATAACGCTCTACTCTTCATGCACTGGAAGGACCAAACTGTGGAGGCATATTACTGTGTACTACTTCGTCCCGGTCGTCCAGTGAGCATGCAATCAAAGTGACATGTATTCAGCATTCGTGCTGGTAAGTGCTATCGTCTGTCTCATGCCATCAATGCTGTCCAATCGGATTGAAACGCAGTCATACTGCCGTCTGCCAATCACAGGCTAAGTCATGTTTCCGAAGCCTTATAAAAGCAAAAAATATAAAATGAAACTCTGCAAACTTGACTCTCTATGGTTGTAAGCAGTTAGATCTTGCTCAAACCTCTGCTTCCGCTTGTGCTTCTTCTGTAAGACGATTTTGTTCACTTATTCTCTCCTGATGTATCTGAAATCTTTACTGCTGACATTGACTTTCATGATTTTCATTGTACTAAGCTCTTCGGTATCAGAATAGATGCAGAAGCACTGGCATGTAACTAGCCCTCCACTTGGTTGTTTGCACGCGTCTAGGCGTCTGGCTGTCTTTGGCCTCCACAACGGGCTGGGTCGCAGATGCGCTGGAACACACCAAAAATCATTGTGGGTTGCGACGGGCGTTAGTCAGGTTTCGCAGCCTCCTGCAGTGTCTGAAATTAATGCTGTACATGGGTGGGGACGGTGAGATGGTGCGTCTAGACGAAGGCTTTGCTTTGCGTCACCGGACGGTGGACATCGTCATTTGCGGCGGTCAACGTGTCGTCATCACCTCCGATTGTAACACCCTAGATGACTGTGTAGATGGGCGTGCAGATCTGAAGCAGAGTCGATATCGTTGGGTTTTGGCGCCTTCCTTGCCGTGTTGCAGGAAGTATTGCCTCCTACCGACTGTTGCTGTGCCAGATACGGGCAGAAAAAATCAGCAGAGTAGGTCTTGTGGGAGACCAAGTACAGTAGATATTGGCCCAATGCAGTATGTTGTTCTAGGGATTCCTTTTGTGGGAGCTGGGATGGTAGCTGTTATAATTCCGGATGACTTCTCAATATGCCTATTTCGGTTGTACTGCTGAATGTAGTCATCCGATGTGAGAGTGTATGCAAGGATAGAAGCTCTCATTCGCTCTCTGTTTCAGAAGTGAGTTCGACTTCTAGAAACGTAAACTTCAGCCTGCTGGAGATCGCTCATAGCTGAGGCTTTTTGGCTATCGCCGGTTTATAATCTACAAACTCTCCATATGCATAGAGGCAGGGAGAGAAAGGGCGGGAATGACACTGGAGGATTTCAAACGTGTAATGAAGTATGGGGGCTAAGCATCACCTGGATAATATTTAATAATTATCTATGTAGGATTGATGTGAACGCTGAATGAGTCATGCGCGCAAACCCTCGTAGTGAGCATGCAAGTCGGTGTGATAGTGGTTACTGTCTGCGCTGGGAGTTATTAGCCTTGAGAAGTTCCCCTCACCCTTTGTGTATTGGATTTGCCAATCAGCCCAATGTCGTCCGATTAAAGCAGCAGCAGTTTCCTTCGAGGGAGTACACAAAGGCGGACCGCAATGGGCCACGGCGACGGACTTCTGGCTTGTGCTTGTTACTACGAGTAACCAGACGCCCACATGTACTACCGAAACACGCAGGAGCAAGTAGCACGTGAGATGCAGTAAATGAGGTCAGCCTGCCCTTCTTTTTGACTGGAATTCCTCACTCGAGATGACGTTGTACGCCACAGGGACACTGGCCACTGACGAGTCAGTTTATGTGCGGTACCTTCGGGATTCGTGGGTAGAAGGCAAGGAGCAGAATTACCACGTTATCCTTCGCCCAAGAGAAGTGCGCACTGTTGCCTGTTCTTAGAGTCGGAGGCAGTTTTCGACAAG